TCGGGTTTTGGGTATTAAATCCCTAAAATCTCTTATTCTTTTTAAAACCTCTAAACACTCTACAACCCCTAATCTCTTCATTGCATAAAAACAACGATTTCAAGTCAGAATTCACTCAGTTTTCAACTCATAAACCTGCTAGCATCATTAATATCGTGCAATCAACGACACATTCTCACTCATTCCGAAAATTTTCAAGGTATTTTTTCTAAAAACACTATTTTATTGATTTTGAACATAGAACTAGTTTGAATTAGTTCTAGAATGAAATTAACATTGGGCATTAGTTAGATTTTAGTTTAGAACAAAAATATCCAACTAATTTCATCAAAAGCACAAAAATTTTCAAAATTGATTTTAATTTTTGAAATAAAAAAATGTTGTTTTTGATTTAATTATGTTGTTTTGAAAACTTTATAATGATTTTCAAACTTCTTTTTCAAAATGGTTTTCAAAATTTTTCAATAGAATATTATTTAGAGAACCTTGAAATATTGAGGACTCATTTGAGTTTTGGGAATTGATTATATTGCATACATGTGTTTTTAAAAATTGTAGGTTATTCTTCCAATTTTTTAAGTCATGTCTCAAAAACGCCCTAGGTCGTCTACTAGTCATTCAAACCGACCTTCAAACCCACACCATATTCCACCTCAAAATCCAAATCCAAACGAACCGGTTATGACTATTCGTGCTTTAACGAACCTAGTTGTAGACAAGATCTTTACTGTAGGTTTTCAAATTTATTTCAATCATACAAAATCTGAGGTATAGTTTTCTTGGATTGAATTTAGAACTCATTGTTAAACATTTTGATGCTTTTGTATTTGTTATGCATTTTGAATGCTTGGATGTTTGAACTTGAATGTTTATTTATATATATATATATATATATATATATACTTGGGTTTGTTTGTTTGGTTTAATTAATTGTTGCAGCATTTACATCATATTAGAATATGACCAATTTTCATTGCACATTATTTATGAATATTGAATTATGGAACTAATGTCTAATATTTCTCTTGATTTTGATCTTAGCAGCTTAAGCTTTATCTAATTGAAATCAATTGGCAAAAACTTGTTTTAAAATTTTTAGAGTCTTCTTTTTGATTTAATAAAAAGGGGGAGAAGTGTTAGAGTAAGAGGGAGAAGTGTTAGAGTAAGAGGGAGTAATGTTAGAGTAAGGGGGAGTAATTTTTCAAAACTTGATTTCAAAAATGATTTTCAATTAGAAAATCTTAAAATTACTAAAATGTTTTGTTATATCAAAAAGGGGGAGATTGTTGAAAATATTTTGATGTTTCTATATAGCAAATTAAATGTTATTTGATTTTAAGATTTTATAATCATTTTCAATTATATATTCGATTAAACTATTCGAATATCAAAATATTACTCCAAGTTTTTCAAATATCAATTTCAATCCTTACTCAAGTGTAAAATTAAGTTTCAATCTTAAAATATTTTTGAAACTATTTTTACAAAGTATTTCGAACCTTATTCAAGCCAAAAATAATTTTTAGTTAGGGAGGTACTGATATCCCCCCACAGGAGGTACCGATACCCCTATGCTAATTTTGACAACAAAAAATAACAGTGTGCTCGGAGGGTATCGATACCCCCATGCAAGTTTTTGGCTCCGAGAAATAACAGATTACTCGGAGGGTATCGATACCCCCAGTAGGTATCGATACCCCAATAGGTACCGATACCCCCTGTATATAATGGTCGAAATATTTAAATTTTACACGGAAGGATGAAGGGTTACCGATACCCCCCACACTCCAAGCTGTTTTATTAATTGATTTTCACACTACAATGGCTCCAACTTCACCCAAATGGTTCCCAACGGTTAGAATCATCTCAAGAAGTATTTATACAAGTTTTGAAGCCATTGATCAACAACAATTAAGAGAGAATCAAAGAGAAAGCTTTAAACATCAAGTTTGAGCAATTCAAGCCCATTTTTCCTTCAATATTCATTTAGCTTTCAAGAACACTTGTTGTGCTCAATTGTATTATTCTTGAGTGTTCTTTTCTTTGTTCTATAATTGTGCAAACACTTTGCCTTGTGAGGTTTTTCATTAAGTTTGCAAATTTGTAATTTTCTCTTTGAGAAAGAGTGTTCTCAAGAATTGGGGTATATTCTTGAGGGAGTTGTGAGGTTGTGTCTTTGTCCTCAAAAGAAAGACAAATTAGTGAATTTGTGGAAAATCCTTAGTATGAATAGCTAAGGTAGTGAACGTAGACTTTGGTTGAAAAAGTCGAACCACTCTAAATCGTTGTGCAAATATTTTTCATTTTCTGCAAAAGCATCCACCAAAATTTTTATTGCCAATTCACCCCTCTCTTGGTCGATTTCGTCGATTAATTAACTCAACAGGGTCTTAAACTAAATTATATTCAAACTTGTAATTTTCATCGCAAATACAATTAATTAATCGACTAGGTACCGATTTTGGGCGATGTGGGGTGCTAATTCTTCCCCATACGTAACCTACTCCCGAACTCAATTTTCTTGTATGCATACCGTAAATTTGTTGTTTTAATTAAAATCAATATTTTTATTAAAATAACAAATATGTTTTTGGGTGCTCAATCACACCCTAATCAAAGATTGGTAGCGACTCCTCAAACCGTATTTTATTTTATTTAAAGGGAATCTCAAATTTTTCGAAGCGAGAGATTTTTTAAAATCACATTACTTTTTAATTAAAAATTAATCAAAAGATAATTTAAAAATGTATTTTTTTTTAAAAAAAATCAAGAAAAAATCATTTCGACAAATATAAAAATAAGTGACTAAATTAAGTCTCGAAAAACGTTTTAGTGCCTAAATAATTTTTTGCTAAAATAGGTGCATAACGTTTTTTCCGTTACCATTTTAGGTGCCCGAGCGTTAATAATGTTATAAATTTACGTTAAGTGACACGTGTCACGTTATGATAATCCCCCTAAATCTATAAATTCCTAGACATAAATCCTTCAAAACCCTAAAACAACCTTTCATTTACACCATTTTTAGGTTTTCGATCTGTTGCGAAAGTATGAGGGTTTTAGTGGTGGGTGGTTGGCCAATCACATGTCGTAGGGTATTCATCCAATTAACTGCATTAGTGGCGGCCGGCGGTGACAACGGGAGTAAAATTAAAATTTTAAAAGTTTTGAACTTTTTTAAGATTTGAAAAAAATTAAGTTTTTTTTCTTAAAATGTTTTTTTATTTTTTATTGTAAATAAAAATTTCAAAATTATCAGAACTTGACATGTTTCACTTAACATAAATTTTTAACGGCGGTTAATGTTTACGCACTTAAAATGGTAACGGAAAAAACTTTAGACACTTATTTTGAGTGAAAAATTCTTTAGGCACTAAAACGTATTTCGAGGCATTGTTTGGACACTTATTTTTGTGTTAAGCCTTTTTTTCATATAAAAAAGGTTATCCGAAATAAATAATTACACTGGTGTGGTAATAATCCAAGTTATTTTGATGCTTGTAGAAAGTAGGAACTGGGATTGCCTGCCTTATCTTATCGAAAAAGAAAAAGAGAAGCATGAAAATCACATGTGAATGTAACTATTATATACGGTCTCTAAGAAGAAACTTGCGGGAAATTTTGACTATAAATACGAAGTAAATAGAAGGAAATGATATGATTTGAAGCAATTAGAACAAATTCAAAATAATAGTAATAACAAAAGTTATCATGATCTTTCTAGGAATTAGGAAGGCAGATTTGATCCTATAAAATAAGAAGAGAGTGTGAAAAAGGTAACAAGATGACCGGAGTTGATAAACGGCCGATGACTAATATCTATTGTAGAAGTGATGGACGGCTGCTATGTATTTAGCTGCTATGTATTTAGGGATTTACTAAAATGGAAATAGAAAGGAAATAATTTATTAAACTTGTATTTTTCAATCAAACAATATTACAAAAGCTTAGCTCTTTAACCCACTGTATTAGTGGGGTTTTATACTCAAAGATTCAATTTCAACAATCATTCAATATTATCCAACTGAATTAATAACTTGATAATTAACTAATTATAGTTAACTTAATCTTATTCTCTAACACTCTTCAATTGTTCGAATCCTACCACCGTCACTCTCGCTACCTACATAAATCCTAATTGGATTTAGGTATGTACTGGCTCTGGACTGGGAGAATCACTCCCGACTTAAATTTTTTGTAACAAGAAAAAACACTCTTCAATTCATCAATGTTGACCCAATAATCTTATCTATTTCTCTCTCGACCTCAACATTTTGATCTTCTGCTCAGGACCCTCACTCCTGACCTAAACTTTTGTAAAAAAAACAATTCAATTCATCATTGTTGACCCAATAATCTTATCTATTTCTCCCTCGACCTCAACATTTTTTTCTTTTGCTCGGGACCCTCAATTAGTAACTGTAGCTCAATAGCCAAATTAGATACGTTGAAATTCACCAACAATCAAGATGATTTTTTTTCTTTCATACAAATTTTATGTGTCACATTTTAACGTTCCCTACTTCTTTAATACGAAGAAAAGTAAAATTTATTAAATATACTTAATTTATTTTATTCCAGAGACAAAAATTGTACTATAAATCTTTTGGATTTGAGAAAATCATTTTTATTCGTTATTGTATAGATTGTTATTGAAATTAAGTTGTCGTTTTTCAACACCGCAAAAATGGCATTCAAAACCTTTAAATTGTGAGTAGCAGTTCTGGTCTCCGCTTCTCTATTGCATAGCTAGTTGTTGTGTACAAGAACTAGTAAAATAAGAAACAAGAAAAACATTAAAATCACATGCGGATGTATATACATTAATAATTAAAATAGATGATATGAAAATATTGAATTGACAGGTTGCATACATTTCACGCACCTCTTTTTAATCTCAGTTCTCAAGTCAAATAAGGGAAACCTCAATTAGCCTATAAATTTGGGCACCCTGGAAATGATTTCAAGACAAAACAATCTGATTCATAGGAAAACTAGAAATGGAGAGATCAGTAATGAGCTTAAGTAGTCTTTTGGTGTTAGCTTGTCTGGTTGGTTATGGCACAGCACAAAGCGTTCAAAATGTGTCTGCTCATTGGGTCGACTTCTTTGCCAAGGAGTACGACTGGGACATGAATAAAGCTAACGATGTTTACTGCAAGATATATGATGCCGATAAGCCCTACGAATGGCGCAGCAAATATAATTGGACCAACATCGGTGATCTCGCCGGTCTTTCAATTGACGAAGCTTGTGGCAAGTGCATCCATGTAAGTAACGCTTTCAACATCTTAGTTACTCCGATTTCAATTGAAAAATAAAGGAAAAAAGAAGCGCATATTCATCAAGTTTTCATTACCGATGCAGGTGACAAATAGAGCGACTGGCAATGAAACAACAGTGAGAATCGTTGGCCCAACCGGACATGGCCTAGAGTTGGATAAGCCGGTGTTTGATCAGCTCGACAGTGATGGGCAAGGCCAAGATGTAGGACACCTTATTGTGAGCTATAAGTTTGTGGATTGTGATCCTACACCACCAGGTCTTGGCGAGTCTAATGTCCGAGCTGATTATTCTAAAGACTACAATCCTATAGAGAATGATTGGACCTATCCTTCCCATGCCGAGTGCGCCATCAAGGATGGCGGTAAACCCTTGGATTGGCGCAAAAGATATGGTTGGACGGCGTACTGCGGAAAGTATAAAACTTCCAACCCGGAAGACAACTGTGGCAAGTGCTTAAAGGTAACCAACACAGACACGAAAGATTCGGTAACAGTGAGAATCATGGATACATGCGGCGGAGAAGTGGAAGCCTTGGTGTTGGACTACGAGACAGCTTTTAAACCGATTGACACTGACGGTAAAGGGTATGAAGCAGGTTATCTTACTGTGGACTATGAATTTGTGGAGTGTGACGACGATGTTCTTGTCTATTCCCAGTAACTTTGCTTTATATTAATTACCAAAGGCTTGAGATCTCCCACTCCATTTCACATGAATCTTGTCAGTGTGAAAACCTGTGTAATAAACATGTTAATGCGGAATCATAAATTTCGCTTGCAGATTGTAACATGAGATAAATAAGAAGTGGGATTGTGCCAACTGCTTAGGATTTCGTTTCTATAAATGGAATGATATGAGCTTTATAGATATTGAAATTTAAGTATTATAGTTGAAGATGACTACACTTCCAATTACACTTCAATAACACTTTCGATCGGATAATAATTTAATATAACTGAATGTTATATCAAACACAAATCAATCATCTTTTATGCAAAGATGAGAGCATTAGATTGGTGGAAGGCATTGAAAGAATTTAACTTCCTAGATGAGAAGCTGTGGTAGAAATGATCTGGGGCATTCGCTGATTCGAGTGACGTTCAGATTAGATTGAAGGTAATTTGGCAGCCTCCTTGCATGGGTCAGATGAAGTTTAAGGTGGATGGGGCAGCTTCGAAGGATGCAGCAAGTTGTGGGGTGTGTTAAGATCAGAAGCTGGGTATGTGGTGGTAATGTTTTTTGCCCCCATCTCATGTGTTAATTCTGATTTTTGCCGAGTTGTTAGCTATCAAAACTGCCTTCGAGATATTTAGTGAGTTTACCTGGTTTGGGGAGACTAAGCTGATTATAGAATCTGATTCGAAAGTAACATTGAACTAGGTTCATTCCTCCCTCATTCGCCCTTGGAGGTAGGGAGCTTTATTTGAAGAGATTGATCGAAGATTAGTGACTGTATGGAAGGTACAACTTGTATATACTCCTAGGATATGCAACAACATGACAGATTACCTCGCGAAGATTGGAACAAACAGACAAGAAATGTTTAAAGCTTGTAGGTAAGATAGTCTTCGACTCTGTGTCTATATGCCCTGCTTAGTTTAAAGCCTATATGCTTTGCTTATCTGGTTTTATCTAGTAAGATTACTGGGTTGTTTGGTAGCATGAAGTTATGTTGGTTGCTCTTTGTTATCAGCTTCTTTTCGTGTTGACTGTCTGGTGTTGTTTTGGACGTTATGTTTATGAAGGTTATTGCCTAGTTTTGGCATAATGAGAGCCCATTTATATTTTTTGGACCGGTTGTATGTATCCCAACCTTGGAGTACTCTTTTCCCCTATTTAGGCCTAGAGGGGTTTTTAATGAGGCTCTCGGTTGGGGTGATTTTAAACTCGGAACACATCTGATCGACCGAAAACTCGAACCGAAAGGAATTTTATGATACATCTGAAGCATTCATGGAATAAAACTTACGGAACTAAAATTCATAAATCTTGGTTTTTAAGATTTCAAATTATTACAATCTCAGACCGAACAACTTCTCTCTCGACATACACATGGATTATCACAATGCTGGCTCTTACAAGAATCTGTTACACAATTTCGAGATTTCGTTCTGCCATTGAACTCTATAGAAAATCGACTAAGTAACATAATTTTAAAAATCATTGGAAGAAAATTATCAAAGTTGAGAAGACACTCACTTGTCGAAATATTAAAGAGCTCTATCGAATCACTCTAATTTTAGAACACACACAAAAACATCATCAATGAAATCAACCATAAAAAATGATAAGATCACACTGGAGCATCAGATTTACAAAATTTGCAGAGGTGTCTATCAGAACGATTGACCTCAAAGGTACAGTAGAGAACTTTTGATTGATAGGAACCGGATGGAGGACCACTTTGATTATCATATAGGTTTTGCTAAACTTGCTTACACTAGGTCATCGATTTAGTGAGTAAACACACACTTTTCTTTCACAATGACTTGATCAACTGACTGGTTCACACACGAAATTTTAGAAATTAATTGTTCATTTTCATCATGATATGTATATTTTGCTTTCATTCTGCAGTCTACTATTTGAGACATGACTGAGGGAGAACTTACAACTTTATTTTACAACCACGACATTGACTAAAGAAAGATATTCGAATCAATCATTTTTTTAGGAATCAACTATTGTTTTGTCGAAATTTCAATTCCACACATATCTTATCACTTAAGTACTAACTTTTGCATTGTAACCTCACGATATAACTTTTAATCATCGTTTTCACTTTTGTTTTGACATTTTTTGTAATACTCTGAAAATCGGTATAGAATTTTTCGACGTCTATCAATTGGAAAAGTCAGTGAAAAAGATTTAGTGACTAAAATGGAAGAAGTGACGAATTTAAAAAATTTAGTGAAACTGGTAAACCTTAGGTGTCAAAGTGAAAATAAAGAATAAATTAAATGGCTAGTAATTAATTAGAACATAATAAGTTGCAAGTGGTGGAGAGGTGGATGACTAAATGGTATGATTTCTTTGAAATTCTTTAATTTTGCTTCAAATTAAGCAAACCCAGTTGCCAAGAAACATAGAAAGTCTTAGGAGCATGTCATCATTTTCAACCTAAGATAACTCCATTGTTGCCGTGAGAAGCCTTGTAACCCTAAAATGTCTCTCTAAAAATTAACGACCTTTCTTTCACCCGATTTAGAAATTGATTACATATTTAGAATTTGTATGCTATAATTTTCATTGGTAGTGTCAATTTCAAGTTTTAGGTAAGTTGATTCAAAACCTTAAATGAGATTCAAGTTAGGGTTCATAGCAAAATCAAGGGATTTTGCTTAATTTGATCATTTATGTTTATGAATTTATGTTGATAAAGTGTGTTTATACCTTTCTAGTGCAAGAAGGAACGGTGGAAGCCATCACTCCAAGAGGAAAAGCTAAGGTTCTCAGGGGTGGATAATCGAGCTAAACCGTGCTACTTCAGTTAAGGTGAGTGTAGTCCCTATTTTTTGTGCTAATATGTATTTTAGGTCATAACCTTGTAGGTGATCTCTATGTGCATTATTGGCTCACCTAGAGCATCAAAGGATGGCCACTTTTGTAAATGGATATGTTGGTAAGATTGGTAAGTTTTGGGCTTTTGCTTGTTATTGAAACATGTTATGTATATTCATATGTATATGATGATGTCGTAGAGTTGCTTCAGACTTAATTCAAGCCTGTGAGATGAAATGTGTTTATGTTAAGTTATGTGTTAAATTGAAAGTACACATGGTTAGCTTATCGATTTTGAGGTACAATTGGCATGCTATATGATCCATAGTGCTTATACGAGTATTGTTTGGACTTGGGTACCATTAGTGACGGAGGGATGATGATTTTGGGTACAATTGGCATGCTATATCGATTTTGTAAAACTTCTCGAATGGTGACTTTGTAAACCAATGTTATTTTGTGATACATGTTGAAATGTATATTTTGTACTGTTATTTGGTATGATGACGATGTCATGCCATATGTTTTGTATAAACATGTTAAAGTTATGTTTTGAGTATGTATGTGCTACAAGAATGATCAAATGGCAAGGAGAAAGGTATGTTATGTATTTGGTACCTATTTAAGGTTACAACGTACGCGTTTGTTGAAACATGGTTGAAATGGATTTTACGTTGCATATTTGTATGTTATTACATGATATATGAGTTGCATATAGCGTAGGCTAAGTTTAGTGCACGCTAAAGTATGTTTGAAATGTCATTTTGACTATTCGGTGCATATGATATCCATATTAGAATAGAGCGTATTGATACTACAAACTTAAAATGAAACTTCAAGGTAATTTTTTATATCAGTACTAACATATTATATCGATATTACCCGTATCGATACCAAATGTCCAGTATCGATACTTGTGTATTAAAAATCACCTTAAACCCTAAACTAGTATCAACACCATATTCTGGCATCGATATTATAATTGGGTTCTAAGTTGATAAAATAAGTTGAGTATTGATACCAACTCAAAAACATTATCAATATTAGATGAGCAATTTCAATACCAACTCATGTTGGCACAAACACAATCCCACTTCTTATTAATCTCATGTTAAAACGTACAAGAGGAATTCATGATTCCGCGGTAACATGCTTATTACACAAAGGTTTTTCACATAGATACGTTGTACACCGTTCAAGTGAAATGAAGTGGGAATTCTCAAGTCTATAAAGTTACTGTGAATAGATGAGAAGTGGGGAATCCACATCTCCATCACACTTCACAAATTCATTGTCCACAGTCAGATGACCTTCTTTTCTCCCTTCCCCATCAGTGTCGATAGGTTTAAAAGCGGTTTCGTAGTCGAACACCAAGGCTTGCGTTTCTCCGCCGCATGTGTCCATGATTCTCACTGTTACCGAATCTTTCGTGTCTGTGTTGGTTACCTTCATTCGAGAACCAAGATTAGATTAAACTATATATATGCATGGGAATTATTTGAAGTCTAAGAATATATATATATATATATATATTTGAAGTCTAAGAATATATATATATATATATATATATATATATCGATACCTTTAAGCACTTTCCACAGTTTTATTGTGGATTGGAAGCTTTATAGTACTTCCCACAGTAAGCCGTCCATCCATATCTTTTGCACCACTCCAAGGGTTTATTGCCGTCGTTGGCCGTGCACTCGGCATGTGAAGGATAGGCCCAATTATTCTCTTTAGGGTTGTAGTAAGAAAAATCAGCTTTGACATTAGACTCGCCAGGACCTGCTGGGGTAGAATCACAATCCACAAACTTATAGTTCACAACAAGGTTTCCTCCATGGCTTTGCCCATCGCTGTCAAGCTGATCAAACGCTGGCTTATCCAACTCTAGGCCTTGTCCGGTTGTACCAACGATTTGTACCAACGATTCTCAATATTATTTCATTGCCGTTCGCCGTGTTTGTCACCTGCATCGGAAATGAAAACATGCTGAATATGTGCTTCCCTTTTCTTTTGCTATTCAATTATCCGGTTAAATAATTGAAACCAGAGAAACTAAGATGCTGAAAAAGTTACTTACATGAATGCACTTGCCACAACTCTGTTCAAGATCACCAAGACCACCGATATTGGTCCAATAATATTTGCTGTGCCAT